AATTAAGAACTCTTGTATTACAAAAGACTCCACTATGATAATGGAAATGCAACACACAGGGTGAGAGAAGGTATTTGCAATACATATAGCTGCCAAGAGTTTGTGTCTGGAATATGCAAATAACTTCTACAAGTAAGTAATAAAGAAAACTTGTGGCTTCTTCACCAGAAAGGATGTGCATGTGGAATATAAGAATATGTAAAGATGCTCAGTCTCACTGATCATTAGTGAACTACAGATTAAAGCCCCCGTGAGGAACCACCACCACCCTCTGGAGTGGCTAAAGTATCAACACCAGCTGTCCAGGTGGACAAGAAGCAGCCAGAAAGCTCCTCACCTGCTGGTAGGAGTATAAAGTGGCTCAACACTTTGGAAAATCAGTGTGCTCTCTAGAGTGGGACCTATGTGTCTCCTGCAACCTGGTACACACTCAACAGAAACATACACACGTGTACTAAGAGAGACATATAAGGACGTTCATAGAGGCATTACTCATAATCACAAAGATTAGGAAGCAACAGAAATCTCTGTTGATAGTAGAATGAATAAATACGCTGCGGAATGGTCTTACCCTGGACATGACAATGAAAATGGTGAATTACTGCTGCTTCCACACAGGGTGATGGAGCTCATGAACGCAGCATCAAGTGAGAATCAAGACGCAAAAGAATGCACGCTGTCTGATGTCCTTATGTGAAGCAAAAACAGGTATAACCGATCCGCAGAGGTAGGAGTGGGGGCAGAGGTTACCTTTAAGGCCCAGAGGCAGCTGTGGCTGGAGAGGGGCACGCAGGACCTTCCAAGTTGGTCACATTCCACTGCTCGCCTGGGTGGAGTTTTCACAGCTGTGTTCACTTGGGGCTAACATGCTGAGATGTACATATGTGAGATGGATACTGTTGGTGTATGTACTATACCTCAACAAAAATGTTTGAAAATACACGATAATGGCCACCTTTTTTTTTTTTTTTTTTTTTTTTTTTTTTTGAGGTAGAGTCTTGCTCTGTGCCCAGGCTGGAGTACAATGGCACGATGATCTTGGCTCACTACAACTTCTGCCTCCTGGATTCAAGCGATTCTCCTGCCTCAGCCTCCCGAATAGCTGGGACTACAGGTGCCCACCACCACGCCTAGTTAATTTTTGTATTTTTAGTAGAGATGGGGTTTCATCATGTTGGCCAGGCTGGTCTCAAACTCCTTAACTTGTGTCCACCCACCTCGGCCACCCAAAGTGCTGGGATTACAGGCATAAGCCACCAAGCCCAGCCGATGATGGCCACTTTTTACACCACCGTTCACAACTGCTGTATCCCTGGAGTGACTCGTATAGGTAACAGTTAGTCCGAGTCCCTGAGAATCCAGTTTAAAACTATAAACTGCAAGATCTTGAATATATGGTAATTGAAAGTTCCCTAGAGAGAAGGCTTTAAATAACCACATGAGCCATCTAATTTGTCACTAACCCAACTGTGATTAGACTCAGCCTCCAGCCTCCAGCCCCTCCAGAACAGCTCCTGGAGATCCAGCAGAGAGCCCAGGCTGCCCACGCCCTCCCGCCTCCCCTCCTCTCCTGGCTTCAGTTGCTAATTACCTTTTAGCTTCTCAGGAAAGACTGTTAACATAATAATTAAGACATAACTCAGCAAAATAGAAAAAAAAGTCTCCTTTTCCTGGCTTTAGTCCATTATTTTAGAGCCGTAAGTTATCAGGAATCATCCTGGTTTTGCATCTGATTTATTTTTAAAATCTAGTGTCATTCAAAAGAAGCTGGTGAAGCTGCTAATTTTGTTTTATTTATATATTTATAGTCATCCTACAAAGAATTTGAGGTGTACGGTGTGTCTCTATATTCACTTGCTCTTTTAATAATTTTTAAAAATAAGCTCTTGTTTAAGGATCATGTATTTCTTTTTTGATTTATTTTTAGTTCATGCTTTTGTTACTGTTGTAAGCAGTGTCATCTTCCAAATTACATGTTGCTTGTTGAGACACATAGAAATCATTTTGGGGGTGTGCGCATGTGTGTCACTTTTACATTCAGTCATCTTGCTGAATTTTAATTAGATCTAAGACTTTGGTAGTAGATTTAAAATTATATGCCTATGTAACCATATTTATTTCTTCCTTCTACTCTTTATACAGGATCGAGTGAAAGAATCAAGACACGAGGGAGTACATGCTGTGTGAGGTATAGCTCACTGCAGCCTCCAACTCCTGGTCTCAAGCAGTCCCCTGCTTCCACCTCCAGAGAAACACTTCCATCCTTTCTCTCGCGCCTGGCTGGGTCTTGCCACCTCCCACACCCAGCACTTCTTCTGTGCTCACCTCTGGGATCAGGCTGAGGTTCTTTGGATCTGGTGCCAGGTTCCCGGGTTCCCTTCTTTCCTTTCTCCACCTTCTCTTTAGGTGATGGGTGACGAGTTCCATTTTCAAGGGTTTCAGGTGTCTGTCCCCAGCACGGCTCTCCTCTCCGGACATCAGTGTTTTGCACATAGCTATTGTCCTAACACAGCCACTCAGGCATCCCATAGGCATCGCAAACTTAATGCACCCGAAAGGAATGCCGGGTTTCTTCCCCCATCCCCCACGTCATCCCAGAGAGCCATCATCCACCAATAGTGCAAGCCAGGATCCTGGGTGAGCCCTGATGCTTCCCTTCCCATGCCCCTCCCGTGAATCTTTCACTAAGTCCTGTTGAGTCTAATTCCAAAAGCCTCTTACCTCTTTCTACTTTCACTCTCGACACCTGATACAAGTGTTCTGCATGGAAGCTGCACGCATGCCTGAGCTCCAGGCAGACACCACTGGGTGCCTCAGAGATCCCGTCCCCTCGCCCATGGTGCTGATTTGGGTGTTTCTGCCCTGCCACCCTTGGTCTGTGTGCTTCGATGGCAGCTGCTCTAACTCCCAGCTCCAGAAGTAGACCCTACTTGGCTAAACCAGGGATTGCCTTTCTCTGTGAAGGGCCAGATGGCAAAGATTTATAGCTCTGCTGGCCACATAAGCCCACTGTGTATCTTCTTCAGAACCCCCACCCAACCCAACACTTTACATGTTTAATGTTCATTCTTTGCTTCGGACTGCACTGCGTCAGGCCAAGGCTCAGCTTGCCCACCTCTGATTTAATCACACATCACGTTCCCTTTCCCTGGTCTCTAGAGATTGCTAGTCTAAGTGGCCCGATCAGGAGGACTCTTCTGACCAATGGTGGCATAAGCCTCCTTTCTTCTCTGACTTTACGTGCCACAGAAGTGCTCTTTCCTCTGCTGTGGGTGCTCCTGCCATCAATGTCTTCTCATCCTCCAAGGCTCAGCGCAGCTTCCTGTAGCTTGCTCTGATGCTCCTGAGTGGGGCAGCTGCAGTGCCCTTGGCTCCTGCAACTGTTCACATGCTCTCCATTAGGAAACTGCGTTTCTACGTCACCACCTGAGCCTTTTCATTATTTGACTCCTTACAGATGCAGAACAGGCTCAGAGGCCAAACAACTCAGCTGGGCTGCATGGCACAGCCTGGTCCGCACTGACCCTCACGCCTCTGCTCCTGCCCTGGATGGTGTCCCAGTTATCACACTGCACTGCTCCCTAATGCCATCTCCCCACTAGAACATGAACGCCCTGAAGCAAAGACATCTTCCTGGCCACATGTTCACCCACACACAGCACACTGCCCACAGCACTGAAAGGTCATTGGAATGTCCTCTCTCGCCTGCCCCTGTATGTCTACCCCATTTTTGTCTCGCAAGTGATAGAGACCATCCTACTTGCGCTGGACTTAAATCTTTTAGGCCTAGGCATGAAGAGAGACTTACAATTGTCTCAATGCCAGCTCTAAGCACCCAGGGCCATCCTGGGAGTCAGAATCCCGCCTGTCACAGAGCACAGACAGACTGCTCCTGCTCCATCACTGTGGGAGTTGGGAGTTGTCCCGGGGACGGTGTCACACTGTGAGCTGGGTGGGCCTCACACAAGGTATCCACCACCATGGCAGCTGTTGATTGAATGGTTTGGCACCATCTGGTTTTTGCTACTCCAGTCTCATGTCTTTTTATTTTTAAAATATAGTGCAAAAAATGTCATGTCTCAAATCACGATATCATTGGAATATTGGTCACCTCTTATTAGCAGTTTTATGCTCCTCCTGATGGTTTAGAAACAAGGAAATCAATAATCCACTTTAGGCTATAATCTAAAAAGTACCTGTGAGTGTCCTTCCTCAAATAGATTGGGCAGAATTAAATAAAACAAGCCAAGATTGTTTAAAGCTACATCTCTGGTTGTACACAGGGACTATAGTCGAATAGACTTCTTCAATCAGTCCTAGGACACCCGGACCAAGACAGGGCCACTGTCTCAGCACAGCAGGTTGGCAACACACTCTGTAATTCGGGAGACAGAAATCCAAGCATGCAATTGACCTGTGAGGCTGGAAAGGGAAAGAGCGGCAGTGCTGGCCCCCACCCCAACCCCGTGCGCAGGTCACGTGACCCAGAAGTCTAGTCCCACCCTTCTAGCCACACTCTGCCAGCCTCTGGGCATGACAGGAAGGGAGTTCACAGATCAGTGGCATTTACACCTGTAAGCTTTGAACACTTTTCAAGTGAAAGCCCAGTGTACAAATAGGCTGGGCAGCTGGGCCACTCCCAGGCTGGCACCCTCCCTCCCTTTCAGGCAGTTCCCGAAGGCTCGAGACCACAGTTTGAAATCCACTTAATCTCTCGAGTCTGCCTGGGTCTATATCCTAAGCTGGCGGAAATCACTTTGTGCCATTGTATCCTGTAGGCTGGCAGTGCCAGCATAATTTGTAAATCTCCTTCTGGGGGATAGTCACAGGGTCATGCCATTTAACTCTACTGCCGGGAAAACACGGCCAAATGGGTTTTTGGTGCTGTGTAGACCATGGCTGACGTCTCACATGCTTCTGCAAAGCCTAACTCTGTATCCTGGGCATAAAGAGGGAGCCTCGCTAGATTCCTGAACTCAAGCCCTCGAGCATCAGGTTTATTTTCCGGGACACCAAAGTGATTGTTTATTCCGTAATTCCCACAAAGGAGACAGTAAACAACAGAACAGAGGTGGGGCAGGCACGGAAGTCCAGGAAGTAGATGGTGGCTGCCAGCGCTTCTGTGGAGACCCAGGGCCCCTCCAGGAGCCCGAGTGTTCGACTTCCACAGTGCACAAGGAACGGATGGCTGAGATATCCTTGAAATTTCTTTGGACCTCCTCAGGAGACTGCAGATTCATTCTCAAAGCACCTAATCTCACAGGCACCCAAGTGGGCATCCTGGAGCTCCATGCTTCACGACAGCTGGGCATGCCCTGTCCTGGGCCTGGGCGACTGGAAACTGCTTTCCTCCCTGACATCAGCATCAAGAGTGCCATTCTTCCAAGTTAGGGAGAGCGCCAAGGCAGGAACCATCTCTGTGGAGAGGATGGCATCTGAGGGCGTAGAACAGGATGGGACCATTAGAGGCTGCCGGCTGGTCCTGCAGAGCCTCTGGAGAGGCCTGTGGGAACAGCAGAGGGTCCCGGCCTTGGCCACCATCCGCTTTCTGCTGCTCTGGAGGGAGAAAGAGGACAAGTTGAAACTTGCATAAGCAGCCTCCCTTCCGGGGATTACCTTGTGTTCCTCATACCAAGTTGTACCTAAGTGAAGGCCTGTGGAAGACTGCCACAGTGACTGCCCCAATGAGCCATGCTTCCCTCCGCCTGTCCCCCGTGCAGTCCCTCACGTCCACTCAGGCCCAGGCCATCTCACCTGCTTCTCCTGGGGAGAGGGATGGAAGCACCACAAGGATTTGCTTTCTCTCGCTGCCGATGGAGATCCACTGGGAGGGAGGCCCCGCCAGCCTGCCTGCGGGGACTGGAGACACGTGGCCCCTATCTGCTGGGGGCCCCTGCTGATAAGTAGGCCCAGTGGTCACCTCGTGGGGCTGAGGGAAGCAGTCTCAGCTGAACCAGCTCACGCTGCAGGCCCACAGGGTCATGAGCAGTGAAGAGAGGTTTTTGCTCACTGAGGTTTGGGGTGGCCTGTTGCATAGAAATGCATGCGATGTCCTCATGCACGTATCTGTTTATTAAGAATGTGTCCTGAGAAGGCGTCCCAGGAGTCTTCATTTTTACTTAGCCGTCCACGGTTGCCCATTTGGGTACTTTGCCTTCAGATGGGGTGAAAGGCTCACTTAGCTGGCTGGCCCCAAAGACAGGCTTGTTTTCCACCAGGCAGTGACTGAAGCTGGCAGCCTTTTGAGACCTGTCCTGGGTTCCAGGCTGCCATCTGCAGAGTGCTGACCACATACCAGGCTCCCATCGTTTATCTGTGTTCATCTTTTAAGTTTTGTGGGTTTTCTGAGCCAGGGTCTCAGCGTTGCCCAGGCTGGAGCGCAGTGGCTATTCACAGGCACCGGGCTCACACACCACACACAGCTTCAGCTCTGGGACACAAGTGACCCTCCGGGCCCAGCTTCCTGAGCGGCTGAGACCACAGCATGTGCCACCAACCCCTGGCTTGTGATGGTCCCTTACTCCCCACTTTACAAGGGAGGAAACAGGCAGAGGGCAGAGTGGGCCACCCGAGGCCTGGAGGCCAGGACTAGCACAGCCTCAACTCGACCCCGGAGCCTGCCGCTCCCCCAGCCCAGGTGCAGGACCCCACACCTGGCTCTGCCCACCGTCCCCAGCTGCTCCTCCAGGCTCAGGTCGCTGCGGAGTTTCCCCATCAGACTTCATCTTCGTGCAGAGAACTGCAGCCTGGAGCTGGTTATTCCCCGTCTGTGAAAACGCTGCATTTCTACATATGCTTATCATCATCTGCGTAAACATTTCTTGGTATAACTGTGCAAGTCGGTAAATATAGATAAATCAAGCAGCGAGTCTACTGCATATGCTGTTTAAAAAAAAAAAACACAAAACTTTAAAATGCTTTTACTATCAACCTAAAAAAAAAAATCAACCAAACAAAACCACCAACAGCCAGACGCCGGTAAGTGGGAGCCGGTGGGGACCGTCTCGGGGTCCCGGCCAGCGACCCGGTTCTCCCCGAGTCTACGGCGAGGACCAGGGCGGGGACAGGGGCGGCCGCGACCCCCGCCGGCCCCGGCTCTGACCCAGGGCGGGGCGGGCCCCGCGCGCCCCGCGCGCCCCAGACAGCTCCGGGAGCTGGGGAGGCCGGGGCGGCGCCGGCCGCGGGGAGGAGCGCGTGGGCCGCGGAGCCGGGAGCCCGGGCCGCACCGAGACGCCGCCCCCGCAGACCGCAAACGCCAGGAGCCCGCGCGCGGCGCCTGCGGCCCCAGCTACCGGAGAGGCTGAGGCGGCCGGATCGCGTGAGCTCGGGAGGTCGAGGCTGCAGGGAGCCGAGATCCGGCCGGCGCGCTCCAGCCCGGGCGGCAGTGAGACCCCGTCCCCGAAACGCGGCAGCCGCGCACCCGGAGGAGGACGCGCAGGCGGGCAGGGTCCCGGCCCCACGCTCGCCCGCCGCAGCCGCTCGTGAGCGAGACGCCACAGCCCCGACTGGCCGCCACGAGCAGGAGCGCGCGCACGCACGTCCGGCGTCGCGGCGTCGGCCCCGCCCCTCTGCGCGCGCGCGCCCGGCGGGCGGGGGCGGGGAGGGGGCGGAGCCGCCGGCGGCCGGGCTGAGGCGCTGAGGCGGCCCTGGCGGCGGCGGCGGCGGCAGCGGCGGCAGCGGCGGCGGCTGCCGAGCGGCCGGGTCGGCGGCCGGGGCTCCGGGCCGCGCGAGGCCAGAGCCACGCCGCGCCGCAGCTCACAGCCTCCGAGGCGGAGCGCCGCCCAGCCCAGGACTGCGGCCGGAGCCTGGGGCGCGCGTGCAGAGGACCGGGCGCGGCGCGGCTGCGGCTGAGGTGAGGGCGGCTCGGGGCCGCGGCGGCTCGGGCGGGCGCGGAGGCTCCGGACCCCGCGGCGGCGGCGTTTATGTAAGCGCCGGGCAGGGGCTGGCGGCGGGGCCCGGGCCGCGGGCCGTCCCGGGAGCGGAGGGCGCCCGCGGGGAGGCGAGGCTGCCCCGGCGCCGCCTGGCATCCCCCCTCCCGGGGCGCCCATCTGCTCGGGCGCTCGGCCCCGGGAGGAGGCTGCGTCCCGGGCGGCCCCGCGTCCCCTCCCGCGGCGCCGAGTCCGCGTGGGATGCAGCGCGCGGCGGGGCGGGCAGGTGCGCCGGGGCAAGGCTGCGCCCCGCGACCCGGGGAGGATGCGGTGCCCCGGAGATCCGAGGCTGCGCCCGGGGACCGGAGGCTGCGCCCGGGGAACGAGGCTGCGCCCGGGGCCGGGGGGCTCTGTCCCTGGGCGGACGCCGCGCTGGGGGACAGCAGGCTGCGCCCGAGACGAGGCCGGGGCCGGGCCGGGGAGGCTGCTGCCCTGCGGGGAGGGCGCGCTCTGCTCCGGGAGCGGAGACCGCGCCGGGGACGAGGCTGCGCCCTGGACGGTCCTGCGTCTCCGGCCGAGGGCGCCGCGTCCGCGCGGGATGCTCTGCGCCGCGGGCGGCCCGGCGGGGAAGTTCCTGCGGGTGCGGGGCGTCTGCAGCGGTCGGGAGCGATCTGGGGCAGTGGGGGGCCCGAGGTGACTTTCGATGTGTTCACGCGGGGAGAAGGAAAATTACTGCGCGGTGGACGGGCGCGAGGGAAGCTGTCACACTGGGCTGCGGACGCTGAGACGTGTTGGAGTCCCGACTGCCACGCTGGAGAACCTGACCTGAAATGTGCTCCCGTCCGGATTTCCCTGTCGGACATCTGCACTGTGGGCTTGAGTTCGCAGTCGGTATTTTTAGTCAGCAGGTTTGGGCCGTTACTTCTGATACAGGCATTTTATTTCTTTCTTAGACCAACGATTAGTGCATTCCATTCTCAAAGTATAACGAAAAGTGGCATGATAGCAAACTTGTGCCTTTACGTTTCGTGGCGTAATTAAGATGATAGAACCGTAGTTTTTAAATTGAGAACACAAATATGTATTTAATCCTCTTTGTTCGCTCTTAAATGTAGCTGTGTGTTTTATTGCTTCGAAAGGTGCCACTCAGAGTTGCATTTTCCAAAACACTAGGTTGTTTTAAGAGCAGTTGTTCCTAGAAGGTAGAAAAGCTAATTGTCCTTTGATGACCATCTTTTACTTGTGGTTGAGCCTACTGTATCTTTTTTGCTTGCTGAGGGTTTCCCAGAGGGAAATGGAGATGGAAAAAAGGTTAGAAGGTTGGCTGACACAAGACAGTTCCTTCTTGGGTAAGAGAAATAACTGTCTCTGATTGCGTGGTGCCTCCAGAGAGCAGAGCCCTATGCATGGGCAACCGCAACAGGGGCTGGATAAATATTTGATGAGACAGGCTGAGCTGGGTGCTTGATCTTGCCTGTGGTGGAGAGGAGTGAACTCACACAGGATTTGAAAGGAATGCATTGTCTGTAGGTGATGCCCTGTTAGATAGTCTGAGCGTTCCTAAGACTGGGTATATCCCGCTACATCTACATCAAATTGGAAGCTATAGTTGGGAAGGTAAAAAGGAGGCCCTCCTGCCAGGGCAGTGGCTTAGAGAGAATTGGTACAGCTCTGAGAAACTGATGATACATGTGTCTTTGGTGTGATGCACTCATGCAGTCATTACTGGGAGGCCATGGGGGAAGGATCAGCTATGAAGTGATAACATCATCCACAAAAAACATATTGGCGCAGAGGCTAATTTCACTTCTTCGTAAATTTATGTATTGTAAAGCATTTGAATTCTTTCAGATTTTTGGAGTAATAATTTTTTTAACTTCTCTTTGTCCAGTGAATGCATAAAACAAACTCGATTCATTTGACAAGTGCTCGTCTATGGCCTGTTATGTGGTAGGCCTTCTCTGTTTTAGGCCCTAGGAGATACAGTACTGAGCAAGATAGGTAGAGTTCAGAAATGCTTCTGACATAAAACAATACATTTTTACTGATAGATTTTAAAAAATAAGCATGCACACAGTACCTACAGAAAGGAAAGCCTCATTCCACTACATCCCAGGCCACTTGGTTCCCTGCAAGGCTGCACCCAATTATGTATTGTCCCAGCAGGAGTCAAAGTATGTACGCAGTTGTGTATGCTTTCACATATAACAAATGTTGCTACAGTGGATATTCTTACACATGGGTACATGCAAAGCCTACTCGTTATTTATTATCAAAACTTCTTTGCTGTTTTACTTAAGAACTGGGTTTTATTCCCTTGAATGCTATGATTAGCTCTGTGACCAAATAATATAATTTAACTAGGTAGGAGGTAACTTTGGAGAGTAATAGATGAAGTTACACATTTACCAGCCTATAAAAAAGTTAAGCAAAATTATTAAGCTTAATTTGAAACCAAAAAGCTCAGAAAGATTTAATTTTATTGGAAAACTCAGTGGTTTTCTGTATCAACTTTCTAAAATAGAAATTTCCAAATCTGTAATTTGGTGTGATGGAAATGGTGGTGTTTTAAAAAAAAACCATATTATTTAATATGTTTATAATATGTGAGGTAGGAAAAGCAAAGATGAAAATTAAAAATTGTCCAGTGAAATAATTAAGATTTCTTTATTATTCTTTGAGCGACTTTTGTTTCCAAGATGACAGGGACAGTGTCTGGGGTGTGGACAGGGACAGTGCAGTAGCCCACAGACGTCTCCATGGCAGGGTCTTTACTGCATCTTCCATTTGCAGAGTTTTGCTTCATACATACCTTGACAACTGTTGGGCTAGGACCATTAATATCAAATTATCACAGTTTCTTTGTAGTTTGGTTAGCACTGCCTGATGCACTTCTCCACCTGTATGCCTATAAGATGTTCTAGGAATATACAAAGAAAAGTGACTTTGGTTTTAGGTTGAATGTCTTTGTGATGGATTTTAAATTAAGATGGAACAGGAAGGGGGATGAAAGTAACTTCAAGGTACCTTGTATTTTTATTGAAAATACAGTGAAATGGAAGCTCTGCTTGCCTCTAGGTTGGTGTTTTTAGAACCTGCTTCCATTCATTTGCTCATTGATCCAGCAGGCATTCACCCATGCATCCTGGACCAGGTACTGTTCTAGGTATTGGAGATTCAGGATGAGCTTGATGAGAAGAGTTCCTGCCCTCAAAGCGTTCATCTTCTTGGGAAGGAGGAGATCAGTAAACAAGATCTGGTGTCCTTACTGCTATGAAGGGCAAGTGAGGCAGGGTAGGTGGGAGAAGGTCAAATAGTTGGTGAGGCTGGAGCGAGCTGGGCTGAGGTCCTGGCAGCAGCAGCCTCTCAGGCACAGGGAACTCTTAGGTAAAAGCTTTGATTCCTGAGTCTCCTTGTAGCATGCCGGTCACCTCAGGGAGGCCGTTGCTGTCAGAGAGGCTGGGTGAGTGGCAGGTGCTGAGACCGGAGGAGAGCAGCATCTTCCTTCTTTGGGAATGACATGATCTGATTTACCTTTAAAAAGTACCACTCTGGCTGTTGGGCTTGTGATATGCCAGGCCATTTAAAAAGCTTTACATATATTAATTCATTTATTCTTATGGCAGTCCAAAAAGTAGACATTATTATTATTATTCCCATGTTACAGGTGGGAGTACCTAGGCACAGAGCGGTTAAGTGATTTACCCAGGGTCACACAGAAAGTGACAATGGCAGGATGTGCCCTTACCTCTTTACTACAGCTTGTTTTTTTCACCTCCACTACTGCAGGCTGGGTGAGGGGTATCAGCAAGATAGATCAGTTAGACTTTTGTGAAAGCCGGGTGACTATACCAGTACCTCAGACCAGGGTGGAAGTGGTGAGATCAGATTCGGCCTACTGAATTTCAGCATATGTAAGATGTCATCATTTTTGAGTTGCATCATCATATTTTATACTGCTAACAAAGAGAAAATGTAGCCAACTAGATTATGACACAATGCTCTCTTGTTAGTTAGCATTTATTTATACTCATTGCAAGAGCTTAGACTGAGCATTGACTTTAAAATCGTATCATTCGTGCACTTTCATAAAAAAGGAAAATACAGGTAAAATAAAGTAATTCTGAAATTTCTTCACATCTAAAATCTGATTCTTCCAACTCAGCTTTTGACTTGGCGTTGGTGCCAGGTATGAGATAGGGAAGTCTGGAAGAGCCAGTGTTAGGATTTGGACATGCGGAGCTTGTGACTCAGGAAGGCAGCCTGGCTCAGCAGCTACACTTGAGGGCCAGATCTGGAGGGCGACGGTTGGGTCATTATGCAGCTGCTTCCTAGATGATCTTGAGCAGGCAGTCTAATCTTTCTGTGCTTTAGTTTTCTCATCTATAAATTAGGAAGAATAAAAGCAACTTGTCAGGGTTGTTGAGTTGCTAATGTAAAGTGCCTAAAATAGTACTTGACTAACAGTATTTAACGGGGCTTACTTTGCTTATTATTTTTATGATTAGTCATCTGAGTAGAGAAAGGTGAATATGGATGGAAATTCAAGGTCAGGTTCAAGAAGAGATTGGGGCCAAGTATATCAATTTGGGAGTCATTTGCATATTGCTGATACTCGTGGCATACGGTGTGGATAAGGAAGAGCAGAAGGTGAGGAATGACCTGGGAGCTTTTGGCAAGGGAAGTCAGAGACCCTGCACGTTGGCAGGGAGGGTCTAGCAACACCACAGAAAAGGGCTCTGCTGAAGAAAGAAGAAACCAGTGAAAGTCTAGTGGTCTGGAATCCAAGACACTGAGGGGTTCTTTTCTTCTTATTTTTTGTGGGCTGGAGAGTCTCCTATTGGCTTTGATGAGAGGCGACTGTCAGTGACCTTGATAGGTTTCTGGAGTGGTGGGGAGAGGAAAGAATTAGACGAGAAGAGATGGGAACATCCGTGTAGATGATTCTTTAGAGGAGTTCTGTTACAAGGGAACAGAGTCATGGGATGGTGGCTATAGGGTACATGAGCTCAGGAAGTTTTTATTTGTATTTTTAAATGAGAGCGCTTATAGCATGTTTATGAGCTAATAGGAATGATCCTGTAGAGGGAAACAAAAATATGCCAGGAAAGAGGATAATGTTGGAGCCAAGTCCTTGAGAAGGTGAGAGGGGAGGCAGGAAGAGCAGGGATGCTCCTCCAGGAGGGAGGCGGGACTTCTGTACACAGGAGCCTGGACTCACTCCAAAGTATTCCTAAAGACATGCTTCCCTTTTGAAAGGAGGATAGAAAATAAATCGTGGTTTTGGTCTCAGTCCTGAAAAGTTGGGAATCTCACCCTAAGACTTAGGATCCAGCTTCTTCTTCTTTTTCTTTCTTTTTTTTTTTTTTGAGATGGAATTTCACTCTTGTTGCTCAGGCTGGAGTGCCGTGGTGCGATCTCAGCTCACTACAACTTCCGCCTCCTGGGTTCAAGCAGTTCTCCTGCCTCAGCCTCCTGAGTAGCTGGGACTACAGGCGTGTGCCACCATGCCCCGCTAATTTTGTATTTTTAGTAGAGACGGGGTTTCTCTATGTTGGTCAGGCTGGTCTCAAACTCCTGACCTCAGGTGATCCGCCTGCCTCAGCCTCCCAAAGTGCTGAGATTACAGGCGTGAGCCACCGCGCCCAGCCTGAGATCCAGCCTCTTACCAGTTTGTGCTGCTGAACACGTCTTGGGGCATACTTACAGAAAGATGCCTGTGGAGATGGAATTTTTTAATTTATCTAAAAAATTCACTTTTCTCTAAAAGTATTGTTACCTGGAGGTTGGTACCTTTATTCACCAAATTCAGTACTCAAAGGAGTAGAAGACTTGGTGCTTGATTTGTTCTAGCTGGGAATTTCAGTTTTGCATTTAAGAGGACTCCCTCACCAACCCTACCCCCAGAGGAAAGCAGGTATTGTTGCTTTGGGCCTGTTGCATGTATATGTTGATGTTCCACTGGGTCAGCAGCATTTAGTTAAACAAAGTTGCCTGTTAAATTGGTAAAATATCTTATCTGCATGAGTTTTGATTTGTTTTTGTGGTTATTTGATTTTTTCAGGTTTGGAGTTTCAGAACACTCATCTTCTCAGTAGTTCAGCCAAGGCGATGAAATGTGAAGAAGCCTCCCCCAGCTTCCTGGCATTCTCTCCATCATCTGTGCAGTGGAGAGTAGTTCCTATTGCTGTGGAAACATTTTCTCTTCACTCTTTTCTCTCAGGGGCAGGCTTACCTGAGTGCCTGCTCTGTGTGAGTCATCGTGGAAGGACACGGTGGAGGACAGGGAGGAGGTCTGTGCCTCTTTGAGCTGACATTCTGGTGGGAAGACTAAACAGATCACAGAGGCAGACACTGTGCCTCAAAACTATACACAGACCTGACTTACGATGGTTCCAGTCACAATTTTTGATGTGACCATGGTTCCCGTTACAGTCATTCTGTTTTTCACTTCTGGTGTATCATTCAATAAATTGCCTGAGATATTAAGTACTTCATTATAAATTAGGCTTTGTATTGGATGATTGTGTCCAACTGTAGACTAATGTAAGTGTTCTGAGCACCTTTTAGGTAGGCTAGGCTAAGCTTTGATGTTTGGTAGGGTAGGTGTATTGAATACCTTTTCAGCTTAGGATGTTTTCAGCTTGTGATGGGTCCATGGGATCAGAACCCCACCATCGGTCAAGGAACACCTGTGTTGTCTTTATTGTCATGACCTGGGAGACACAGCTGAAGTAGATGGCATCAGAGGGTGGCTTCTGGTGGAGGTGTGATGTTCTGGGGAGGCCTCTCTGAGTGGAGTGTGGTACACTGAGGCCTAAAGGGAGAGAATGAGCTCAGTGTCAGGAGGGGGGACAACAGCCTTCCCGGTAGAAGGAATAGCCTGCCAGAGGGTCTGCATATCAGAGTGGCCAGGAGAGGACCAGAACCGTTGTCTACTCAGGGGTTGGGAGGTGAGGCTGCAGAGACACTTGGGCCTGGTGCTGCACTCTCTCAAGAGTGCTTTCAGCCGGGGGTGAAGGAGTGTGGGAGGGAGAATGGAGGCCTGGGTTGGCACTTTTGCTATAATTTAGCAGGATAGAGGCGGCAGAGTTGTAGAAAAAAGAGCAGATGTGAATTCTTGGTGCTGGGTGATAGATCGGGTCTTGGAGACAAGGGAAGTGGAGGGACCAAGAAAGGCTCTTGAAACTCTTTGGAGGATGATGATGATGATGTGATGATGCCAGGTTCCAGAGGATCTCAGGTAAGCAGTCTTCAATTATAGACGTCATTTTGTATCGGGGTCTGTTTGATTCTGCAAAGCAGTTGTTGCCTAGAGTGTGACTTGCAGAATATTTGTTTGTATAGATATTCCTCAACTTTGGATGAGGTTCATAACTTGAATATATTGTCAGTTGAAAACGCATTTAATATACCTAACCTTCAGAATTCAAAGTACAGTTTCTATTAAATGTGTATCACTTTCACACCATCATAAGGCCAAAAAATGTTGTAAGCCAGGTTCTGTCTGTACTTTCCCACTGTCTACAAAATGTGTAATGCGTTGTTTGTAAAACAAACAGACATGTGCATTTAACCTTTTATTAGGTCGAACTGGTACTACTTCAGAGTCCTTGTAATTAGGTCAGTTCTTCCTCACAACAGTCTTGTAGGAGGTCTCTTTACTGCTATTTATCAGATCAGGAAACTGATGCTAAGAGGCTCAGTGACTTCCTAGGAAAGCTGGATAATATTTAGCTAACATTTATTAAGCTCTTACCATGTGTCAGACATGGTAAAATGGGTTTAATCTAGTTTAATCCTCATGATGATCTTGGGATCTTGCTGTTAAGGGTCACTGTCATCATTCCTTTTCACTGATAACACTGGCCTGACCCACCTGAACAGCCTCCTGACAGATCTTTCACTCTTGGTCTCCTTCAGTCAGTTCTTGACTAGCAGTCAGATCTGAGCCTGTACATGTAAGACTGATCACGTCATTCTCCTGCTCAGAGTCGCCCTGCAGCCTTCTTTCCTGCTGTCTCTTCCTGCCACCCAGAGCCCTGGCTCCAGCTGTCTTGAGGCCTATAGCTAGCCCTCACTTCAGTCTTCACACAGCATTGTGTGCTACATGCTCTGCTCCCTGTACTGTTTATTTCTGTAATCTGTACCTACCATTCCCTTCCTCCCCACACAGCCTGCCTGGCTGGAATGGAAGCCTCAGGAAGGCAGGGCTATTTTTTTTTTTAATATGTATATATATTTTTGTATAGCCACATTGCCATGTATGTACCTATGCAACAATCTTGCATGTTCTTCACATGTACACCAAAACCCCAAGGCAGGGCTATTGTTCTGAATCTATCCTGAGAGCTCGGAGCAATGACTGGCAGATAGATACTTGTAAGCCTTTGCTGAAGGAGAAAATAACTTTAATTTACTTTTTCTGTGTGTAGTAAGTAGTAGAACCTGCATGAAGTTTATCTGCTTCTAAAAACATATGCTTTTTCTGCCTCCCTACACTGCCCCCCCCAATCCTATTGTACTTGGTGAATCAGTCATATATTTATGCCCCATATGTCTGTGTTATCTCCAGATTTCCACACTTTGCTATGTAGAATAGAAACATTTACAAAACATTCAAAATTGTTATAAAACCATCAAGTGTGACATTGTAAATTATCTGCTGAAAACAGGAAGGCCACATCCTGAAAAAGTAGCTATGTCCTGCCAGCATCATTTTAACCCCTTTTGGACAAGATACAGTTAAAATGCATTCTCTGAAGTAATAGTAATAACTGCATCTTGACAGAAACAAGAATATTTTGAATAATTCTGGGATGATTCAGGAAAAAGCAGCCAAATAAAATAAAAAAAATATTTGATTCAACTGTGGAGGCTTAAAGGAATTACATGTCGTTTTTTTTTTTTTGTTTTTGTTTTTGTTTTTTTTTGACAGTCTCTTGCTCTGTTGCTCAGGCTAGAGTACAGTGATACAATCATAGCTCACTGTAGCCACAACCTCCTGGGCTCCAGTGATCCTCCCACCTCAGTCTCAGTCTCAGTTTCAGTCTCCTGAGTAGCTGGGGCCACAGGTGGCTGCCACCAGGCCCAGCTAATTTTTGTATTTTTTGTAGAGACGCGGTTTCACCATGTTGCCCTGGCTGGTCTCGAGCTCCTGGACTCAAGGGATCCAACCACCTCAGCCCCCCAAAATGCTGGGATTACAGGCGGAGTCTTCGCACCTGGCCAAGAAAGCATCTCTTATAAGCTGTTTTTGGTCAAGGAGCAAACAGGAAGGTGTCCCAGAATTCGGGAGATGAGGAATGTAATCCAGCCCTGCTTCTGAGCAGAATGGTGCATCCTCATGGCTCTGCCGCGGGCCCCTCGGATGTGGAATGAGGGCAGTTGAATTGCTTGTTGCTCAGGTTCTCTCCATTTCTAGATGACTATCATAAGTAAGAGTCAAACAATCATTCATTCAGTTGTCTAACAAATACTCATCATAAAAGCTGTGTGTAGTCCTGTCTAATGATAGGTGGTGCCACGCCACTTCCTGGCATGGCTGCCAGGAAGGCTGGCACTTAGCACAGATTCCTGTCCCTTCTCTTGACTCAGTAACTCTGTGGAAAGAGGTGACATGTAAAAAGAGAAGGCATGGGCCTTAGGGGTTAAGTGGGCTTAGGAGGCCGGATCCAGAGGGGTGGAATGATGGATTCTGAGTCCATGAGAAAACCTGAAACTTCAAGGGATCAGAATTGATCCCTTTCTCTGTTGTTTTGGTCTTAGGGGGACTAGACTCTGTTAGTTGTCTTGAATTAAATTGAACAAGGATTGTTTTTCACTTCTGTAAGTCTAGAGTTTATCATAAGCAATGAAAGGTAATTCAGTAGTAGTAAATATTTCATTAACCTTTACTTCTAAAATTATAAAGTTAGAAGTGGAGGTCCTTAACATATGTATCAGTCAGGCTAGAGAGTAAGTTGGAAAGTTGCATTGTGTTCCTGTGTGTTTACTTATGGCAGTGCACATAAACAGTTTTGTTTCTTTTTCTTCGATTAGTAACAGTCAGGCACAAGGTGTCCATCCCACCCAGTGTTAAGTCACTTAGACTGAGTTGATTTCATTGAAAAAACGAATCTTTTCAAGGATGTAAAATGGCTTCTCATGGTCTTCATGAGGCTCTGGAGTCAAACACATTAAGCTGGTTAACCTGTGGGACCACGTGCAGTGAGCCTGGGCTGCTGGATGCCACTGGTGGGCCCTCTGCCAGCTGCTACATCCCTAAGCCCTCTCTTGTCTCATTGTTTTCCCTTTTCAGGAATGGATTTGACTAGGCACCTGCTTCCTCAAATTTCTGTCATTTGTGGTGAGGTTTTTGTGTGGGTGCGTCTGATTGGTGGAGCCTCTTAAGTGCACCCTGGCTGTGAGAATAGGAAATAGAATTAAGGTTTTTGTCTTAGGGATGTCCCCAGGTAAAAAATGGGAATTCGAAAGATGCTGGGGAGCTACATATGTGACCTGTGGCCACTACATGAAGAATGGTGGAAAACACCTAGTGTTAATCTATGCCTTTCACTTGGCTTAGACCTAAGCGTAAATAGTGGGAAGTAAGTCTAAGTAGAGGTTACAGTTTCCAGAGACTTCAGCACCCCGGCTGCAGTTAAACAGCACTGATTTGACTCTTGATGTCCACTCTTATGCTAGATATGAATGAAATTAGTCACATCAAAAGCATATTTATTAGTCTTGGTCATTTTGAATTTGAGTCCTTTACATAGTAGGTGCCGACTCAAAATAGCAGTCAAATAGAATTACGATTCTTGAGTTGAACTTACTTATCATCTTTACATTCGGTTTTACAGTTTGTTTCCTGTTACAATGTAATGTTCTTTTTTTGAATACTTGAAAGGAATATCTTTTCTTGATACATGGAAGCTTTACTTTTATTAAATTAATCTTTTAAAGAGCCTCATATAATAATTTTTTTTTTTTTTTTTGAGACGGAGTTTCACTCTTGTTACCCAGGCTGGAGTGCAATGGCGCGGTCTCGGCTCACCGCAACCTCCGCCTCCTGGGTTCAGGCAATTCTCCGGCCTCAGCCTCCTGAGTAGCTGGGATTACAGGCACGCGCCACTACGCCCAGCTAGTTTTTTGTATTTTTAGTAGAGACGGGGTTTCACCATGTTGACCAGGATGGTCTTGATCTCTCGACCTTGTGACCCACCCGCCTCAGCCTCCCAAAGTGCTGGGATTACAGGCTTGAGCCACCGCGCCTGGCTATTTTTGTTTTTTTGAGATGGAGTTTCACTCT